GTGAGATGACGTCATCAAAGTTTTTCGAAAACACACCTTGTGTGCTAACCGGTTTCGATCCCACTTCTTGGCTGGTAACTGCTGAAACTGGAACTACATTCGAGCTGTTTTGCGCTGTGCTTGCTACCGGCATCGATTCTGTTGGTAGGATGTGGCCACCCGCTTGCGATGTGAGCCCAGTGGAAATAACTTTTCCAGATTTGGCACTCAGGATCACTTGGTGGTTGTCGATCCAGCATCGAACTTTATCGACGCTATCGGCTGCACTGTCACCGCTACACATACTCGCTCTTGAATTTGCCTTAGCATCCTCATCCAATCGCGCGTGAAGCAACTTGAATTTCCGTTCCAGGAACTCCTTCTCCAGTTTCATCAGATCCTCCATCATCTTTTCCCTCCTGTCCTTTTCCAATTGCAAAGCCTTTTCCTGCATCTCCTGGTCGTGTTTCGCCTTTTCTGCCATCAGCTTGGCTTGAAGTTCTTTTTCCTCGGCCAATTGCTGCATTTCCAATTGAAGTTTTGCCTCTCTTGCACTTGCAGTCGTCGATGGTGATGATCCTACCAACGACGGTGCACGGGAACCCCTTGGCCGGCATAACACACATTGGTAGCTTTGGTCATCAGCCTCGATGCTATCACCTACACCAGCGCACGAAAAGTGGTACCATCGGCTGCATCCATCGCACTGGACCATCTTCGCATCCGCCGTATTCGGTCGCTTGCATAAAATGCATTGAGCATCGGCTGGGACTTCATCCGGCATCAGTGGAACTCCAGGCATAATAGTTCAGGGTTGAGAAGTCGAAATTACTTTCAAGAAATAATTCTTAAAGTTTGTTGTTGCAGCAGTGGATTCTGTGTTCGGACCTCTTCGAGTCAAACTCGTTATTGTTGTTGTGAGTTAGCTTTAAGCTGAAATTCAATTTTATGTTTTACTTTTTTGTTGATAAATTTTACATTCTTAGGTTAACCTACAATTATTGTCCTCTACTTTAGTGAATCCACCGTACTTAAACAGCTTTTTGTTCCAATTTGTGTATCTGTTGTATAGTTTAATATTTAGATGTAAGGTATGTTATGGAAACATATTCAGGGTACTTACAGTAGGTTCTATTAATTATTTTAGCACAAATTCAGGAAATTTCAATGCACAAGTCGTAATTATCTCTTGTCACTGTTTACTATTGAATACAATTGAGCGGCCCTATCGGAATAAATTTTACCTTTCTCTGCCCTATCGGAGTAAACGCTTCGCAAGTCACTCATCTACGTCCCTTTGGTAACTTTTCACGGGTGATGCTGAACGTGCTGATCCGTGGTGCCAACATATATGCTTCATTTTGGTTTGGGATAAATGTTTGAACTATGGCTCGGGATTTCCACGGTGGCGTGCTTCTATTGTGACATATCGATACGTAATTTTGTGGGACGACATAGTGGAAACGTGTGAGTGTAGTTGGAGCATATACCTTATATAATTTTAAAATCAGCTAGGAAACTAATTTCAAAGTGAAGCATTTTAGTCACTTGAAGGTGTCACCTGGGTCGATCTAAGATATAATAAACATAAATCAAAGTCAAAGTCAAAATTATTTGAAACACGTTAAATTTTAGATTACATAGCAGTTTAGCACGAGTTATGATTGATTAGGTAAATTAGAGATTTCAATTATTTATTAAATTAGACTAATGAGATATCATAATTATCAAAAGAACTCAAATAAGAAAATTTAGACAGCCTAATAACATTAAGTAGATTAACAAAAGAGTTAGGATGCGGGGGTCCGCTTAGGGAGGCAACTAGCCTTTTCATATATTGTCTGTTTATTTTGATGGTTGCTTTAAAATATCAAGATGGATTTTCGGTTTCTTTACATTTTGCAACACAAATCTAGTACTATGTGTCATTTCCTCAAAACCCCTTAATAACCGACCTCTTCAATCCCTTCCTTTACCCATGGCGTTCAAGTGGTCCGCATAGACTATTCAGCCATTACCCTTCCTTTATCCTCGGCTGTGGAATGACTTGCGCTCCCATTGCCCCACCAAACGCTGCAAAATGAAAATGAAAATGTTGTATTTCTATAAAAAAAATCATAAAATACCGATGACAAATGCCGGAGTATGACAGAAAATTCAGTTTCGGTTAAACGACGATCGACCTAGTAATCCATACGGTATAATAGCGTTCGGTATACTGGTGATCAGCTTATCGGCGTCTAACCTAATTCCCCATAATATGTTGTTGCCCCCCCCCCCCCCACTTTAATTCGAAACCTGGCTACGCCCTTGCTGTTTAGTGACCAATGGGAGCCAATGACCTATTAGCTAGTTGCAAAGTCAAATCAGGACAAACTTTGATTAAATTTACGTAGTAATCAATTTTCTGGATGTACCGGATCTTCCGGCATTCCATCTGGGGATCACTGGGAGCCAATAACAATAACGATTTTTCCCACATCGCATATAGATACAGGTAAAAATCAAGACATATTTTGATAAAATTTATGCAGCAATCAATTTTACGGATGTTCCGGATCTTTCGGCAAGTCATCTGATGCCCACTTGGAGCCAATGACCAGCTAATACATAAAAAATCACAATTTTGCTACATTTAATACAGTTACAGCGAAAAATCAAGGCATACTTTAACCAAAAATACATAATAATCAAAATTACAGTTGTACCGGTGGACACTTAGTATCTAGAACCAGGTTGTGGGTTGGTTTTGCTAAAATATCAATCAGCACTACCCATAGATGCCTGTTGCTGTGGTTTGCCAGCATCACCTGGTTCTAGACGACTGCTAACTTTTCCCCCCGGATGGCCTCTCGGAAACCCGGAATAATACCGGAACCTCTTGGCCAATCTGTTCCAATTTTCAGTATACCATAATTTTCACATTTTTCTACTTACTGTCAATTTTGTGGCGAAACAAAAAGGTTATACCCATGCAAACATTGCTATTCGTATGCCTGTACGAAAATGAAAACCACACAAAGCACGTTAGGCCCTCACCGAAAGCAAGGCAGGTGGTGTTCATTTGAATCGCTAATAACTTTTCAGGGTTATCTCAGATTGACATCCGGTCTTCAACAAAGATGTTCCCAATACTCCAAAGAATCTACATTTGATGCACGAAGAAAATCGACCAACTACAGCGCCACCTAGAGCCGCGAATGTGAAAGTGGCTCGTTCCCTATACATTTAGTCAACATTTCCCATGCCCTTTGAGCGAGGTTTTTCCGTTAACCAAATGACTTCAAATTTTGGCAGGGTTTTTCTGACCCCACAAACTGCCATTCCATTAATACTTTGACTTTTTTCTCTCCATATAACGCTGAAACACTCTGTCCGAATTCAACTAACTTTCAGTTTTAACTATTTGATGATTTCGTTCCGATCATTTTAAGGCCAAATTTCCAATGTACACGATGACTTCATCCGTCATTTTGTCACGCATATCTACAACTGAAATCATTAAAAGCTCTCGTTTTTAGGATCACAGTGTTTGATGGAGTCCTCCTGGGAGTCCATTTTCAGATTGTTTCTATTAGTTATCAGAACGTATTTGAGTAACTGAAGCCCTCAAAACTCGGAAAGCTCTAAAAAACTTCTCAGAACTTGCACGACCTTATTAGTTCCATGGATAACAATTAAGATGTTTATACTCGTCCGGAGAATTTCAAAAACTACTGATGGATTTCAGAGGTATTCAGCGAAACACTATTAACTATAAACACTATCTACGAAACTACGAAAGATCTTTTTTCATCTCTTGTGTATAAATCCATCTACTTGCATCGCTCTCCACCTTTTTGCAGGAAATCTTCAACATCTTCATCAAACTACTTTCTATCTACTAAGCGTGCGAGCATCTTACAACAGCAAAGCAATTTTTTTCCTGTATCTTAGATAGAGTCGCCCCATGTCTCCCCCTTAATAGATGTCGTTTCCTGTCAGATGGTTCTCGGGCTTGTCGTAGTCGTCTTTTTCGAACAATCCGCTCATGCTCAGCAACGCTTCGAGATAGCCCTGATGGGCCTGGGACGTCTAAAATTGAAGGTGGACCCGTTGGTGGTACAGGTAGTACTTCTTCTAATGGGCCAATATCTGCTTTTTCATGCCAAATTAGTCCAACAGCACATATAGCAGTAAAATCGGATCGGCTTGAACTTCTGGTTCGTCAGCTGGTACTCAGTTGGTTCGCAATTGATTTGCATGCGATCGAATAAGTCCTCGGCGTCTTGGATCGTCCAGTAGCACATTGTACACCACGTTTCTTTTTTTTTCTCTTTTTTTCCCTTTATTAAACGTCGGTTTCTGTTCCGCAATCTAGTGCCAATCACCGACGGACATCGATTCCCATCCATTGACGGCAATCGAATGTGCAGGAAGGCAGCTTCCACACCTGCGTAGGATATCGCACCCATTAAAACAGACATGGGTCGGGACCAATACAACACGTTTCCTTTACGCTCGATAATGACACCTTTGGCCCAATGCTTCTCGTTGCGTGGATGAATTTCAGCAAAAACTTCATCTCCAGCGTTTCTTGGCCCCATGTTTCCGGTCTAATTTGACGCTGGTTCATTACCGGTGGTTCAGGCTTTGATTGCTTCATATTAGGTTAAAACAGCATTGGAAACCTTTATTAAAATTAAAGAGCCTCATAGAAAGTAGTTAGAAGAAATTTAGAGTACTCGAACCTCAGAAAAGTTCAGGGTTCTTTACTGTCCTGTGCGTCATAACAGTGCCATGTACGTGTATTGCAAGAAGCACAATGGTATTATATCTATGCGCAAGTAAGTCGGGAAATTTTACTACCCGAAAATTCCTTGACCTGGTCCCAAATATGGGATTACGTGGTTTTTGGTTTTATCATAGTTTTGAAGACGTCAGTAAAACTTACAATGTTACTTGAGATATCGAAATGCCTCAACTAGTTGTTAGTCAAGCCTGTAATTCTTACTATAATGCATTATTTTTTATGCTTTTAGCCCTGGCACTCCGCAGCAGCGAACACCAAACACCGTTCAGAGGAGCGTTGAGAAACGAACAACTCGACAGAAGGAGAAACGACCAATTGAAGTGATTGAGAACAATGAAAACTCCCCCACATCATCAAAGAGTCTTCGTCTTGAGCAGTAAGTAAAGTTCTTATTACATGTCTAAGGTCGAGATTTTTTTTCAATCAAACCCTATGTGTGAAAATTGCAGCGACATTGTCCCATTGATTGGATCGAGTTCAACTGTAATGACGCCGGTTCAAAGCAATGAAAGCATTTCTATTGAATCTGGTCCATCTGAAGAATCACTGAAACAGCGAAGCCCTCGCATCAAAGCTCAGTTGAAGCGACAGTACTCGGATGACGTGGTAAAGGTAGGCAAAACCACTGCTCGTGTTAGACTTAGCTCATTATATGAATTGCAAATGCAATATTCATTTACAGCTCAAATCGTTGATGGATAAGATGGATGATATCGAGAAGGTTAAGCAGCTGGCCGCGGATGCGCTCCAAGAGGACATTAACCGTTGGCAGCAAAAGCTCCGTACTCTAGTAACTGAGTACCAAATGCGTATCATCGACGTGAAGCATAAGCAATGGGTAGGAATCAAGGAAATGGAAATTCCTGTTAGTTAATTTTTGGTTGAATGTTATTATTTTTCTTTTACAGTGCAGAAGCTGTGATCACGAGTCCATACTGCACTGTTGCTGGAATACGTCGTACTGTTCCCGAGAGTGCCAAGAGAAAGACTGGCCAACTCACAAGAGGTTGCACAAGTTTTCCAAGCATCAGTAATTTCGGCATTTGAAGTATGTTCTCACTTTATTCCGCAAAGATCTCCGAATATCTCAAACCGTATTATTATTTTTTTTTTCATTTGATACTTTTTAATGAAAAGCAGTAGAATTGCTTTGAATTGTTCTTTTTTTTTGTTTTCTATTACTGCGAAACCATGAATTCACCGCAGTATACGCAATAACAAAGGTGAAAATGAATTGCAATGTAACACCTAGGTTAAAGCCGTTTGTTGAATTTAATAAAAATGTAACCATGTAGTTTGCGGCATTTTAAATTAAACTGTTTGGAGTGAACAAAGCATTCTATTACACCCTCTTAAAAGTCCATGATGAATAGCATAGCCCTCGATATTTGATGGCTATAATCCGTTGAATCTACGCTGATTGCAGCATTCTTTTCCATTAAGCTCATAGTGTGCATAGGACCAACGTGCAAGATGAAGGCCTCATGTCATCATCGACTAAGCATTTCCAGGACATACTGGAAAAAAATACATTAGACTCGACAGTCTCCATTTTCCATAAGCTAGGGTAATCACTTATCATTCTAATTTATACTGCTATTCGGCCATTTTGACTCTTGTACTTAGCACGAAAACGTCTATAAAGACTCGCAGAATCGCAAAAATTGCAGTTTTAAAATTTCACCTCATGTTGTTCTGTTCTACGATTTTTGCCAGGTTTTAGGCATCCATTTTAACATTTTAAGAAAATAATGCCTTTTTAATAAAAATAAATAAATATTCAATAAGTAATATTATTAACTATTAAAAGAAGTATTTTTTTTATTATTCAAGTTTTTAACATTGATGTTTTGGATTTACCCAGTGGATAGGTTCCATTTGAATAGCTAAATGACTCAGGACTTGAACGATCATCAGTCATAGTGGTTTGTTTAAAGCAAGGAGTCTAGAAGATGCGACCATTTTTGATTACTGAGTAGAAGATGATGGATTCAATCCCAGGCTCCATTTTATTATAGAATTATAAACATCAGCTATTTTCTGGATTTTTTTTACTTATTTTCGGTGTCAAATCGTGGAGAACTGCTTCTCATAGAACTCGGTCCAAACGGTGAAGAAATATGTGATACTCTCGGTAAAATACGCTCGAACAGTGATCGAAAAAATCCGGGGATTTCATTTCATGTTTCTCGGGTTTGAAAAAATCCCGGAATTCGGGATGATATTTTTCGACTCTCGGGAAAAAAAATCAAGACGCTTTTAAAACTAACTAAATTTACAAAAAAAAAAATGCGTTTACACTCAGGCCTTTTTTTACACGGGGGATACGTACCGTGTAAAAAAAAACCTACGAGATTTTGATTTTTCGCATGCTTAAATGTATTTAAAAAATCGGATTTTGATGCCATTTGTAATTAAAGCATGATATGGTCCATATAGACATATTTTAAAAATTTCTGTATTTACACCAAAAATTGTGATTTTTTTTTAAGTATGCCATTCGATTACCTATAGCTTGAAACGGATAATGTGATTGGAATCAAGTCGATAGGTTGTATCGTTGTCGAGAAATCGTTAAAAACGTACCGTGTAAATCGTGGAAAACCGTGTAAAAAAAAGCGTGTAAAAAAAAACCGCGTAAAAAAAACCGTGTAAAAAAAGACTTCAGTGTATTCATTTTCAAAGTTTGAGAAAGAGTTTCAATACATATGAATTGTAATTTGTTTGTTTTTAGTAGTAAGTTTTCTTATAACAAGATTTTTAGAAGCAATATTTATGCACTTACCGGAGTGCAGTGTTCTCATTTTAGAGCAAATGCCCGATGAAATTAATTCTCTTACTATCCGTTAACGATAGCCTTGTTGACACCACTGGGCTGCAGCTGTACTCGCGACCGGCCTGCCGTGAAGTGAGATGTGAGAAGCGAGATGTATGCGTCACCGGTCTACAGCGGTAGGACCGTCGTTGATTGTTTACATCGATTCGTGGAGAAGTAGAACGGAGGATACAAACAAAAACAAACCCAAGAGATAGTGGAGGAGCTCAGTTTTGTTTAATAAAGTTGTAAAATCACAAACAAATCTAAAGTTTAAATCAGTTTTCTGTGGAGGTGGTATTTTCTTAGTTTAGTGCTAAATATTCCGTAAGTAAACAAAATGAAATGCACTATACTTACTAGATGTGACATAAACTATTTCAATATTAGGGTTGACTTTCTAAATCGGATGATTACCTGCCAGAAGCTGAAGATACTATCAGAATAGTTCCGTAAACAAGTTGAATTAAGTGATTGATTGTGAGTACCTATAAATAATAAGATTAGAAGCAAAACAATTAGAAACTAAACTTACCTATTTAGGACTAGTGTTGGAACTGAAAACAGCAGCATAACCAGTGTCGTAGCACGAGGGATTAGAGGGGACTATTTCTTGTAAGTAATTTAGTAATTAATTCAAGGTGAAATAGTTCTTTATTAAAAAATATATTACAGTTGAGCTGCTTGAAAAGTTGCTGCAAAAATTTAGTCATATTCTATAATTGATCCGAACAAACTCAAAAGAAATATTGAGAAAAGGATCTAACCTCAAACATGATGCCGGGAGATGCGAATTTCACCAAGACCGCCTGTGGAGGCTGCGGATCGGTGTCCGATGAGGATGAAGGTATGGTATGTTGTGACAAGTGCAACGTTTGGTACCATTACCGGTGCGTGGGAGTCACGGAGGAAGTCGAAAGTGACGCAAAGTGGTATTGTCCTGAGGAAGACTGCCAAAGCCAGAAGAAACTGGACGCAGAATCTTCCAAAACTTGTGCCAAAAAGAAGAAGAAAACGACCGACGACAACTCGGATAAGTCCAGCGTGAAATCCGACGGAAGGTCTGGCTCGTCGATGGAACGTCAGCACAAAGCTCTTGAAAAGGAACGGAAAAAGAAAGAGCAAGAGCTGAAGAACGAACGCGTTCTGATGGAAAAGCGGATGGAAATCGACCGAATCCTTCAAGAACAGCGGATCGAAATGGAGAACGAGTTTCGGGCTAAGGAATTACAGCAGCAAAAACAGTTGTTGGAGAAGACGCTGAAGGACAAGCAAGATCATTTGGACCGGATGAAGAAGATGCGGGAGTCGTTCAATGCAAGGATGAATCAAGTCCAGCAAGAGTTGTCCAAGCTAAACGCTGGTGAAGATGACAAAAAGGAATCGGTGAACAAAGTTTCTGATGCCGTGAAACAGTCGACCGCGGGAACATCGTTGAAGAATCCGGAAATACGTAGCCAAAAGCGATCGGAGAAAACCAAGAAGGTCGAATCGGATGAAGAAGAGGAGGAAGAGGAAGATGAAGAGTCTGATGAATCTAGCAGTGACGATGAAAGTGAGGAGCAGTCTGAAAGCGACTCGGATGAGGCCACCGAAGAAGAAGACGAGGAAGAAGAACCCAAGAAGACGAGCAAAGAGAAAAATAAGTCAGGAAAAGTTAGATCTCACGGGCTGGGACAGTCTAATGCGGCACCTTCTAAAGCGCAAATGGCGGCCCGGAGTGGAATCAGCAAGAGACTTCCACTATTTACTGGAAAGCCTGAAGAATGGCCGCTGTTCATTGGAAGCTATCAAGCCTCCAACGATGCTTGTGGGTTTTCCGACGTTGAGAATCTTGTTCGGCTGCAGGAGAGCTTAAAGGGTCAGGCGTTGGAAAACGTTCGAGGACAGCTACTGTTTCCAAAATCGGTGCCGAAAGTCATAAGCAAACTTCGTCAGCTGTATGGACGCCCGGAACAGTTGCTACAGTGTCACCTTGAGAAAGTGCGGCGATTGGATCCTCCGAAGTCAGACAAATTGGCGTCATACATTCCATTCGGTAATGCTGTGGAGCAATTATGCGAGCATCTAGAGGCAGCGGGTTTAGAGCAGCACCTGGTTAATCCTCTTCTTATCCAGGATCTTGTCGATAAGCTTCCGGCCCATGATAAGCGTGAATGGGTTCGCTACAAAAATCGGAAAAGGAAGGTGAACCTGCGTACTTTCACCGATTTTGTGTCGAAGATTGTTGCAGAAGCTTGCGAGGCCAACGTGAAGATGGATTTCAGAGCAGAATCGAAGCCAGTTTGCAACGAGCACGCCGGAAAGAGCAAAGCGAAGGAAAAGGGAGCTCATTTTTACAATCACAGTGCAGTTGAGAGGGCCAACCCCGGCGTCGGCGAGAATCATCCGAGACCGTGCAAAGTGTGCAAGCGGACCGATCATCGTCTGCGATTCTGCCAGGATTTCAAGGCTTGGACACTTCGGGACCGTTTGAAGTTGGTCGAAAAGTGGAAACTCTGCGTTGTCTGCCTCAATGATCACGGTAACGCTCCGTGCAAATTCAAGATCCGGTGCAACATCGACGAATGTCGGGAACGTCACAATCCTCTATTGCATTCCGCCACCGGATCCGTGGTAATCAACGCACACTTTCGAACCACCAGTACCATCATGTTCCGTATGATACCAGTGACATTGTATTTCGGTAAGCGGTCGGTTAATACGTTAGCGTTTCTGGACGAGGGCGCATCAGTGACTCTGATAGAAAGTTCCCTGGCGGATCAGCTAGGTGTTCAAGGAACGAAGGAACAGTTGACCATCAAATGGACAGCCGATATCACGCGCGTGGAGAAGGGATCCCGACGAATGGACTTGTTCATTTCCGGACGAGATGGGAAGGAGAAACATCAACTCGGCACGGTTCGAACTGTTGACGAGCTGCTACTACCGAAGCAATCCCTAAGTGCGTCGGTGCTCTGTCAGCGGATGAAGAAACTGCAAGGGCTACCGATTGCTTCGTACGAAAACCAACGCCCGGGGTTATTGATCGGTCTGAACAATCTCCACTTGCTTGCACCGACTGAAGCAAAGGTTGGTAAGCCTGGTGAGCCAATAGCGGTGCGGTCCAAGCTAGGATGGGCAGTGTACGGTCCAAATGAGGTGCAGCTATCAAATGCGGAAGTGTATCTGGGACATCACGATGAAGTAAGCAATCAGGAGCTGCATGATCTGCTGAAAAGTCAGTACGCTTTAGAGGACTCCGTAGTGGTGAAGCTGACAGAATCGGAAGATGATAGAAGAGCTCGTGAAATCTTGGAGCGGACCACCAGAAGAGTGGGCGATCGATTCGAGACCGGCCTACTGTGGAAGGAAGGAGAGCCAGAACTTCCAGATAGTTATCCGATGGCCACGCGCAGGATGAAATGTTTGGAGCAACGACTGCTGAAGTCACCAGCGCTGTTCGAAAACGTTTGCAAGCAGATCAAGGAGTATCAGCAGAAGGGCTATGCGCATCTGGCAAGTGCCGAAGAATTAGAAGAAGCCGAACCGGGAAAAGTTTGGTATCTTCCACTCAACGTCGTCCTTAACCCAAAGAAACCGGGAAAAGTACGACTCGTGTGGGATGCAGCAGCAAGTGTGAAAGGAATATCCCTCAATTCCTTACTTCTCACAGGACCTGATTTGCTGGTATGTATACTCACCGTATTTTGCCAATTTCGCGAACGACCGATCGCTTTCGGTGGAGACATCCGCGAAATGTACCACCAGATGCTGATTCGTCCAGCCGACAGACGAGTACAGCGATTCGTCTTCCGATCGAATCCCAGAGAAGCACCTAGTATTTACGTTATGGACGTAGCTACTTTCGGATCGAAAAGTTCTCCATGTTCCGCCCAGTTCGTAAAGAACAAGAACGCGATGGAGTTTGCAGTACAGTATCCGGAAGCCGCCGCAGCAATCGTGAAGAAACACTACGTCGACGACTACTTCGACAGCGTTGATACCATCGAAGAAGCGATACAGCGGGCAAAGCAGGTGAGATTTATACATTCGAAAGGGGGATTCGAGATAAGAAACTGGGTATCCAATTCGGAGGAAGTCCTAGTCAGTCTTGGGGAACCGAAACCCGTCCAGACGATTCATTTCAACCAGGACAAAGAGACTGGAAATGAACGCGTACTCGGTATAATTTGGAATCCAGGTCAAGACGTTTTCTCCTTCTCGACTGAACACCGCGAAGATCTACAAGAGTACCTGCAGGGTCATAAGACACCAACGAAGCGCATTGTACTGAGTTGTGTCATGGGGTTCTTCGATCCGTTGGGACTACTCTCATGCTTCACCGTACATGGAAAGATCTTGGTTCAGGACTTATGGCGAACGGGCTGCGAGTGGGATGAAGAAGTCGACGATGCATGCTTGGTCAAGTGGAAGCAATGGACGGATCTCTTGCCGTTAGTGGAGAGGGTTCGCATTCCGCGCTCATATTTTGGACAGACGCGGTCATCCGAAATTAACAGGCTTGAGCTGCACATCTTCACAGACGCTAGTATACAGGCATATGGCTGCGTGGCCTACTTTCGTGCAATGGTAGACGGTGAAATTAAATGCCTGTTGGTGATGTCTCGATCAAAAGTAGCCCCTCTTAAGTTACAATCCATTCCGCGGTTGGAACTGATGGGAGCTGTCCTCGGTGCAAGAATGTTACAAACGATCAAATCCAACCATTCGCTTTCCATAAACCGTTGTTTTCTTTGGACAGATTCGCAAACAGTTATGAGTTGGTTGCGTTCGGATCAACGAAAATACAAGCAGTTCGTTGCATTCAGGGTTGGAGAAATTTTGGAGACAACCAGCTCAACGGATTGGCGATGGATTAGATCTCGGATGAACCTGGCTGATGCACTAACGTAGTGGGGACAAGGTCCTCCATTGGATTCAGAAGGAGAGTGGTTTAATGGTCCAAATTTCCTGCACCAACCAGAAGATTGCTGGCCGACCGAGGGGTTGCCGGATGCAAACACTGAGCAGGAAATGAAAGCATACTTGCTGCACCATGAAGTGAAGGAGTTTCCAGAACCCGTGATCGATGCAGAAGTGACATGGCGCTGGCGTAAGTTGTTGCGAATCACAGCTTGCGTAATCAGATTCATTACAAATCTTCGACGCAAGGTAAAGGGCTTTCCGTTACGAACGATGGTGGCGAACGAGAGGCAACAACAGCTACTTAAGGCGGAATACAATGTTGTACAGCGACCACTGCAGCAGGACGAATTTTCGAGAGCGGAAGTGATTTTGTGGAGGCAGGCGCAGTTGGAGGCGTTCCCAGATGAAGTAATGGTACTCCTGGGAAATGGATCACTCAAAGCGAATCAGAAGCCAGAGCAGATCGGGAAGAGGAGCCCATTATACAAACTCACCCCGATCGTAGACGAGTGTGGCGTGATTCGAATGAATGGTAGGATGGCGAAGTCAGACGAAATCCCGTTCGATATGAAGTTCCCGATTATCCTTCCGAAAGGACACGCAGTGACGAAACGATTGGTACAATATTACCATGAAAAGTTTGGACATGCAAATCGGGAAACGGTCTTCAACGAGCTTCGACAGAAGTTTTATATTCCGAAGTTGCGAACGGAAATCCAGCAAGTGATGAGAAAGTGTGTCTGGTGTAGAGTGAATCGCTGTTATGCTGAGGTCCCGATGATGGCTCCACTTCCGGTTCAGCGAATCACCCGACAGCTTCGACCTTTCAGTGCTGTTGGAGTCGATTATCTAGGACCTGTGGAAGTGACGGTTGGTAGAAGAAAGGAGAAGCGGTGGATCGCCCTGTTCACGTGCCTTGCTGTACGTGCGGTGCACTTGGAAGTAGTGCATGGATTGACAACGCAAGCATGTCTCATGGCCATTCACAGATTCATCTGCAAACGAGGAGTTCCAGACGAAATCTTCTCCGACAACGGGACAAATTTCAAGGGAGCCAGCAAGGAGTTGATTGCTTGGGTGAAGCGAATTGACAGTGAATGTGCGGATTCAGTGACGAGTAGCACAACGAAGTGGAACTTTAATCCTCCTGGTACGCCACACATGGGTGGTATTTGGGAGAGGATGGTTCGATCTGTAAAGGAGGCGATGAAGGCACTCGACGATGGCAGACGTCTGACGGACGAAATTCTATTAACTACCCTGGCTGAAGCGGAAGATATGGTAAATAGTCGTCCGCTAACGTACGTACCCCAGGAATCAGCAGATTCCGAAGCGCTAACACCGAACCATTTTCTTCGAGGTACGGTCAAGTCCGTCGATGTTCACGTAGATGGTTCGGTGGACTTAGCAGAAGCGTTGCGCGACATTTACAAGCGATCGCAGTACTTGGCGGACCAGATGTGGCAGCGTTGGTACAAGGAGTACTTGCCAACGATCAACAAGCGTACCAAGTGGTTTGCTGAGAGGAAGTCATTGAAGAAGGGAGATCTCGTGTTTGTAGTAGATGGACAGAACCGGAAAAGCTGGGTTAGAGGTATTGTCGAGGAAGTCTTCGTAGGATCAGACGGCAGAGTTAGGCAGGCGGACGTACGGACAGGCAAAGGCGTATTCCGGCGTGGAGTAGCCAACCTTGCAGTGCTGGAAGTTCTTGATGGTAAATCCGGAACCACTGATGAACGGGTACCGGAGTTATGGGCTGGGGTGTGTTGACACCACTGGGCTGCAGCTGTACTCGCGACCGGCCTGCCGTGAAGTGAGATGTGAGAAGCGAGATGTATGCGTCACCGGTCCACAGCGGTAGGACCGTCGTTGATTGTTTACATCGATTCGTGGAGAAGTAGAACGGAGGATACAAACAAAAACAAACCCAAGAGATAGTGGAGGAGCTCAGTTTTGTTTAATAAAGTTGTAAAATCACAAACAAATCTAAAGTTTAAATCAGTTTTCTGTGGAGGTGGTATTTTCTTAGTTTAGTGCTAAATATTCCGTAAGTAAACAAAATGAAATGCACTATACTTACTAGATGTGACATAAACTATTTCAATATTAGGGTTGACTTTCTAAATCGGATGATTACCTGCCAGAAGCTGAAGATACTATCAGAATAGTTCCGTAAACAAGTTGAATTAAGTGATTGATTGTGAGTACCTATAAATAATAAGATTAGAAGCAAAACAATTAGAAACTAAACTTACCTATTTAGGACTAGTGTTGGAACTGAAAACAGCAGCATAACCAGTGTCGTAGCACGAGGGATTAGAGGGGACTATTTCTTGTAAGTAATTTAGTAATTAATTCAAGGTGAAATAGTTCTTTATTAAAAAATATATTACAGTTGAGCTGCTTGAAAAGTTGCTGCAAAAATTTAGTCATATTCTATAATTGATCCGAACAAGCCTTGTGTCGTGGCAACCCTCTAATCAACTCATTAAGAGAAAGCTCTTTCTAAATGAACTTCTTTTATCATCGTTGATAGTTTACTAGTCCCAGTATGTCGTTAGATGCCCTTAAACTCTTCTTCTGAATATTGATTCTGGACAATGAGAAAATCTAATGACAGGTTTCTTTGACGAACTGGAACAATTCGTTGAGTTATATCAGTTATCCCAGTAGATGAACTTGTTGCATGGTTGTTATATATAAATGTCCTAAGTAAATCCAAATTAATAGTGCATCTTCCGTTAATGGGTTCTTTAATGTTAAAAAATGTATTGATTTGAAAGATCTTCAGCACAAGTCATATTTTTTTTTCTATCTCATAGACTTTCATTTATTTCACTTTTTGACACAAATCTATCAAATTGACAGCTCGCCCACACTAAAATACTGCAGAGCAGGGTTGCCAAAACTACAGATTAATCTGTATTTCTAAAGATTGTTTTAATGTCTGTAGAACCAAGAATCTGTAATAACAGATCACAGATCAGATTTCTAGGTTTAACACAGATTATACATAATTTTTTTTTAATTATGAGTTTAAGCTTTTTATTGTGATTAAACATTAAAAAAATAATACTTAATTAACAGCTTTGTGTTTGCTTCAGAAAATTTTTCTTATCTAACTATTTTAATAGCCTTGGTATGGAAAAGGATTATGAAAACTGTCAAAGACAAATTCTCTTTTGCTATGTCCATGTTAATTTCTATTTTTTTAGTTTTATGTTTATCAAAAGCATAGTGCAATAAAACATACCTCTATCACTTTTGTATGAACATATTTATTTAATTAATAAATTATTGATACAGATATCATCACAAATTTTTTGTAAAAAAAACGAAAATGGAATGATTTGTTAGATCAAAAGTAGAAGGGTCTGTGCCTAGGGGCACGAACGAAAGCTTGACGTAGGACCGCTAGTGGACGGAACAAATGTGAACATTTAGTTCTTTTAATTGATCAATCATCAATTATCTTAACTCTTTCCGTTTTTTATTTGTAAGCATATCAAATTTGTAGTATTTATTTCAAAGAGAAAGTTGATGAAGAGATTCCAAGGGACTGTCAACTTGAGTATTTTCGATTCATCTACCCGACTTTAAAAGGTGTATTTTGATTTTTTTTTTGTTATTTATGAATTTTTAAGTTTTGTGCATTTTGGTATTAAAGTGTATTCAATTCACCCCTCACAGGATTTCCTTCCGAATTATATGAATGGGGCGGGACGGAAAGTATCGTTTGTGCAGAATATGTAAAATCTTCTCCAGAACTGTTCGACCAGATTCTTTGCTAGCTTCCAGCTGTTCAGAAGCGTTGCTACTCCTCCGGTCAAAGGTGTCGGGGGTTGATTGATACCACGGGTTGACCACCGCTTCAGCTTCCAGTACAACGTCTTCCAGCACCTCGTCGCTGGGATGATGGGGATGATCACTGATAGTTGCCATGGCCGTTTTGACCGAGCGTACCAAACGCTCCTAGGCACCACCCATGTGCGGTGCGGAGGGGGGATTGAACTGCCAATTCGTTCTAGCATTGGTAAATGACGCCGCGCAGTATTCGTTGATCTTCCGAAGCTGCACCGACAAAATTAGTACCATTGCCAGAATAGAAGGACTCTGGTACTCCTCTACGTGCCACGAATCTACGTATGGCCACTCGTGTTTATTTCAGTTGCCATGGGGACGTAATTTGTGATTAGCCCCGGTCCCTTTCAAATTGTATCATTATTTATGTACGGCCTTAAATTTTAAATGACTTTTCACATTCATCTAGTGATGGCCGATTTTCATTCGAACTTTTCGTAAAATATTTGTAATCGGTTATATTATCATGCTGGCGATGCATTATAAGCATTAACTTCTCCAGAGGATCATCACCCATCGTTTCAAACATGTGCTGCATTCTCTAATAAAAATGTTATGGTTAATATGCTTAACGACGTGTTCGGGGTATCATCCAAACCATTTGTGGAATAGTTCAATCCAGTGGCGTAGCGTGCCCTGGTGACACCCGGGGCGGATTTTTTGGGTGTCACCCCATGTTTTATATGCACATTAGACTGATGCAAAATTTGACTTTTTCGCTCCACAATACTTAAACGATTCCAAATCGAATCCTGACTAACCTCTCAAAATTGAACCCATTTGGTGAGAAACTGAGATGGCACAAACCATTTGAAGTTTGTAAGGGAATTACTATGGTAAAACCAAGATTTTTGTTCATGTCTGTAATAATCGAGATGTTGTGATAAATAATAAAGGGACTTCAATTTACATACGCTTTACAAAGTGTTTATTCTCGACGTTTTCACTACACTCCTCGCGTACCTTCACTGCCCGCTATTTACTCACCCAGGCCCGTACTTTACTAATTAATCATTTTTACATTTATACTCTTTTTATTAGGAACCATAAAACAGGGCCGCACTCGGCACCACATCTCCCTTTGTTTAAATTTAAGAAGTTACATGTAGTAATCGTTGAGTCGGGCCGGTTTCTTCTTTGATCTACGCTGTCGGCTTGATATGGTCAGTCTTGGTGCTTCAGTCACTTCTTCTGACTCAAAGCCAAAGAAATCTTCTTCTGATGATGCTTGCAACTGCGCCTGATCTTGATGGTTGTCATCGGATGCTACATTTGGCTCAGCCAAGGTTTCAGCCTCAAGGTCCACAGCCTTTTTGAGATGTGCAACATTCCTGTCATAAGATTTTCCGTTCTGAGGGTCTTCAACTGTTACACGAGGGCCTGATCGTGAGATAACTGTATACTGCTTTGGGTTGAAGGTCGTGGAAAGCTTGTTACTTGGCGTTAAATTCTGCATCAGAACAGTATCACCCGAATCGATAGAAGATCTTCTAGCTCGACGACGGGTATCTTCTGCCCCCTTCCCTTTTCCCTTCGATTCTTGGTCTCGATCACGGAATTCTGTGTTCTGTGGGGCTGTCTCGATGTCTCCGATCGTAGGTAGCTTCGAACGAATCGTGTGTCCATACATAAGCTCGGTTGGTGTTTTACCAGTAGTCGAGTGGGGCGTTGTATAGTACATGATAAGGTAATCATGCAAGTCCTGTTTCCAATCTCTACCAAGCGCAGCGCTGATCTGAAGTCGTTTCACGAGAGATCTGTTTTGACGTTCGACGAGGCCGTTTTCTTGTGGCCAATACGGCGTCGAATGATTCAAAGTGATTCCGTGTAGTTTGCTGTATGTCTCTAGCTCCGTGCTGACAAACTGCTTGGCATTGTCCAGCGTTATAGTCTGAGGATATCCCAAGCGAGTGAAAATCCTGTCAAGCCTGCTTATTGTCTCTTTGGCCGTTATTTTGGACATTATTTCCACTTCTTTATAACGACTATAATAGTCGATAATTACCAACAGGTACGAACCACAAGGCAATGGGCCGAGGAAATCTATCGCGGTGTCGATCCATGGACCAGATGGTAGCGGACGGCGACTCATTGGTTCGGGTCTGCTAGGTAATCCTACCAAACGACAGCCATCACAGGTCTTCACTCGAGTCACAGCCTCATTGTCCATACCCGGCCACCAAACACGATCACGAAGACGACGTTTCATAATAGACTCTCCCGGGTGTCCTTCATGGGCGATATCAAGCATCCTTGCCTTCAATTTACTCGGCACGACGAGTTTGTTCCCACGGACCAACAAATCTCCAACAAACCCAAGTTCATCCTTGAACGGTAAAAACGGTTTGACTTCTTTTTTTTCCCAGCTTCCAGAACGCAAACACTCCTTAACAATGCCCAGGATTACATCAGTATTAGTCGCATCTTCAAGCTCCTGAATGTCAATTGCTGCGGACTCCATAACTGCCAACACCATGAATTTACTCTCAGCGTCAAAGGTCTCGGAAGACGGGTTTTCAACGAGACGAGACAAGGGATCAGCCAAGTTGGACGATCCTTTGCGGTACTTTACTACAAAAGAAAAGGATTGGAGACGCAGCACCCATCTTTCAATTCGAGCACATGGCCGAGAAGTTGGTTGAAAAATCGCTTCCAATGGTTTATGGTCCGTTTCCAGCTCAAATGTTCTTCCGTACAGGTATATTGAAAACCGCTCAACCGACCAAACCAAGGCCAACGCCTCTTTCTCGGTCTGGCAATATCTGCGCTCCGTGGATGTTAAACTTTTGCTAGCGTAGGCGATCGGACGAGGCTGGCAATCCGTTGGACCTTCAAATTGAATCAACACAGCTCCAAGAGCCACTGGTGATGCATCCGCAATTAGTCTTGTTCGGAGTGTATTATCGAAA